GTATATGTGGCTGCTGCACCACCCACCAGTGTGGTCCAGGTGGTGGTGTATATGTGGCTGCTGTACCACCCACCAGTGTGGTCCAGGTGGTGGTGTATATGTGGCTGCTGCACCACCCACCAGTGTGGTCCAGGTGGTGGTGTATAATATGGCTGCTGCACCACCCACCAGTGTGGTCCAGGTGGTGGTGTATAATTGGCTGCTGTCCACCCACCAGTGTGGTCCAGGTGGTGGTGTATATGTGGCTGGCTGGCCACCCACCAGTGTGGTCCAGGTGGTGGTGTATATGTGGCTGCTGTACCACCCACCAGTGTGGTCCAGGTGGTGGTGTATATGTGGCTGCGTGCACCACCCACCAGTGTGGTCCAGGTGGGGTGGTATATGTGGCTGCTGCACCACCCACCAGTGTGGTCCAGGTGGTGGTGTATATGTGGCTGCTGCACCACCCACCAGTGTGGTCCAGGTGGTGGTGTATATGTGGCTGCTTACCACCCACCAGTGTGGTCCAGGTGGTGGTGTATATGTGGCTGCTGTACCACCCACCAGTGTGGTCCAGGTGGTGGTGTATATGTGGCTGCTGTACCACCCACCAGTGTGGTCCAGGTGGTGGTGTATATGTGGCTGCTGTACCACCCACCAGTGTGGTCCAGGTGGTGGTGTATATGTGGCTGCTGTACCACCCACCAGTGTGGTCCAGGTGGTGGTGTATATGTGGCTGGGTTAAACATACAATGGGTCAGGTAATTATCATATTTTAAGCTTTACTTTCACTTACTGGTGATATTAGTCATGTTCATGAATCAAGATGTATGAACGGGTGAGAACTGACATTCATGAAATGTTGAAATAACCGTGATACATAAGAACATAAGAATGGAGGAACACTGCAGAAGGCCTACTGGACCCTGCAAGTCAGGTCCTTATCAAAACTACCCCTACCCAAAGCTTTTCCACCCCATGTATAAGAACATAATAACAACTATAACTACTACTACCTCTACTTGTACTACACCTCACTCAAAGCCTATATATACTCTCTGTGTCCATGTATTGTTTGTATCAATTTGACAAAGTTTCTAGAAAGTGAAATGTTGCCCCTCTCTACTTTGTATTGGACTGAAAAAGTCATTGTGTGGCTAAAAGTTTCCTTAATAATGATTCCCATAACTGTCTCAAACTTCAACTTGTCAGTTTTTAAACCATTTATCACAGTAGTGAATGTATATGCCACTGTACATAGGCTTGTGCCTCACGTAAAAACCAAAACCTGTATTTGAGAGGTGGATATTAACATCAAGGAAAGGAAGCAAGGAATTAGATTTCCACTGAAGATTGAGACACTTGTACAAGATAAGAACATAAGAAAGAAGGAACACTGCAGCAGGCCTGTTGGCCCACTTTGTATTGTACTGATGAAGCTACACAGTGGCTAGAGTCATCAGGCCAGAGACCAAAGATGTCATCTACATACACAACTTTCCTTGTACGAGTGAATATCAAAATGGTATACAATACCGACAGGTTGGTAGGTAAGACACATAGGCAACAGTTAGGCAACTTTATTCCGAAATGTTTCGCCTACACAGTAGGCTTCTTCAGTTCTTCAGTCAAGTACAGAAAGTAGGCAGGAACAGTAGATATGTGAAGACGATGTAATCAGTCCATCACCCTTGAAGTCGTAGATTTGAGGTTGTCAGACCCTCAGCCTGGAGATGTTCTGTTCCATAGTCTGGAACTATCTGTTGCCTATGTGTCTTACCTACCTTTCTTTGTATGAATCTTAGTCCTGGCTTCGTCTCTGTAGATGCTTTCCTTTCCCATTACATTGTAGAAAACTCCAAACTTCAGAACACCCGTGACTTAACCTGATTCTTTTTTCCCCATTCTCCTTTCCTCTTTCTCCTTCAGGTTTTCTTTCTTCTGCCTTTGGTATTTGGTCCATTATTATTATTTCCCCCACTCCCTCTGTGTTTTTGTTTCTACCTTTTGTGGGCCCCTAACTCCCTTGAGGGCCCCTAGCTCCCTTGCAGTGCTCCTCTTTCTTAGTATTTGACTCGGTCCACTATACTACTACTACCTCTACGACTGCCTGTCTTCCTCCTTTCCTACTACCTCTCTTGTCCCGGCCCTGCCTGTTGGCCTATATATACTGCCTCCTCCGCTGTATACTACAGCGTTATGTTTGACAGTACACCAGATGTGACACACACTGACCAAATGTCAGAAGTTATCAGGTACATGCAAATGGAGGATGGAAGAGTTCAAGTGAAGGAAGTTTTTCTTGTTTTTTTTCCTTTGAAGGGCAAAAAAGCTGCTGATATCAGTTCTGATATCTTGAAAAAGCTGGAAAGTGATGGACTGAACTTCATGTTGTGCCGTGCTCAGGGATATGACAATGCTGCCACCATGGCCAGGGTCCATGGTGGTGTACAAGCCATTCTTAAAGAAAAGAACAAGAAGGCAATTTTCAGTGGTTGTGTCAACCATTCATTGAACTTGTGTGGTCAACATTCTTTTGCTGAGAATTAATCATGTGTAGAATTTTTTGGCAGTCTTGAGTCAGCGTATACATTCTTTGCCTCCTCCACTCATCGATGGGATGTATTAATGGACCATACTGCAGTCTCTTTGAAAAGATTATCAACAACAAGATGGAGTTCTCATTACAATGCAGTGAAACCAGTAGTGGAATCTTTCGAGGAACTTGTGGCAGCGATTGAAGCTCTTTGCGACCCACGGGAAATTTTGGATACAAGAGGAGCAGCACAAGGTCTTCTCTCTGCTGTGTGTGACTTCACATTTGTGTGTTATCTGTATTTCTGGTGTGACATACTTCAGGAGGTTTGGCTTGCACAGCAGTACTTGCACACTAAGGATTTAACTCTTGACAAAGTGAAGTTAGAGGCACTGCGCTTATTTTTGAATGAAGGGCGAGATTGCATAGTGGAAAATTCAATACAACAGGCACTTTTGAAATGTGAGAAGTATGAATTTCCAACAGAGAGAAGAATCAGGTTAAAGAAAAGGATGGCAGGGGAGCAGGCAAGAGATTCCGAACTCACTCTACAGGAAGAAAACAAGAGGGCAATGTTGGAGTGCATTGATCATTTTCATAATGAACTCGAGATATGATGAAAAGCAATCAAGAATGTGGCAGCCATGTTTGTGGTCATTCAAACAAAGAATCTTGTACAAGCTATTGAAGAAGAATTGGAGGTGATGCTTCAAGACTCTCAGTCTTCTATAATGAAATATACAAGAATGAGCTCATGCTTGAAATACCAAGACTAAGGAGGCACCTGCAAGCTGCTGTTGTTGATCTTAACAAAGTTAAGCACTGGACTACACTGGATGTACTAACATTCACAGTTGAATGGGATTTCATTGAATCTCTTCCAACTCTGACGCTCTGCCTGAGGTTGTTCCTTACTTTGTGTGTTTCTGTGGCTTCTTGTGAAAGGAGTTTCTCCAAGTTGAAGCTGATTAAAAACTATTTATGGTCCACAATGAGTCGATCCAGAATCTCTGACATAGCAATGTTATCCATAGAAAATGGGTCAGTTGACAGCATTGATTTTGATGATGTGATGGATGATTTTGCAGGATTGAAGGCAAGGGATTGTGTGATCTGATTCACTGAGATGTTACCTGTACTCAAGGTCAGATCGGAACTAGTGTTTCTCTGATATTGCAATGTTTTTCTTAATTTTTCAAGTTTTTTTCTTTTGGCATTGTTGAAGAATAATACAGTGGTCCCTCGCTTTTCGTAGTTCTTGGCAATCGTAAATTTCGCCAATCATAGGGGTATTTTCATATAAACATGGACTCGCTTTTCATAGGTTGACTCGCGAATAGTAGTTCGTCCAGGACGCTTACGCACGGTGTGAGCCGGGGAGGCCTCCCTACCCAGCCAGTCTGGCATTGTTTACCAGTGAGTGAAGGTCCCCTCAAGTGCTCCTACGAAATATTTCATAATATTCCACTCATTTTAGTCCTTGCAAGTACTAAATAAGCTACCATGGCTCCAAAGAAAGCTCCTAGTGTCAAGCCTGTGGTAAAGAAGGTGAGAAATATGTACAGTGACAAAGTCTTGTACCATTTTAGGGAAGTGTTAAAGAGACGCCAGAAACAGAGCTCTCTCCACAGTTACTTTGCGAGACAGGACTAGAGTGACTCTCAAGGTGGTCCTAGTGGCATTAAGAAACAGAGAAGAGAAGCAACCCCAGAGAAGGAATTGGTACCTGAGGTGTTGCTGGAAGGGGATTCCCCTTCCAAACTGTAAACAATCCAATCTCTCTCCTCCTCCTCCAGTCTCCCATACACTAAGAAGAATCACCAATAAAGGTAAGTGTTATGCTGTTAATGTTTCATTCATCATTTCCCATTGTATTGTTTATGTACTACATGTATATTTCATGTAAATTTTTTTTTTGTTTTAATACTTCTGAGTGTCAGAAACGGATTAATTGTATTTACATTATTTCTTATGGGGAAAATTGATTCGCAAATCGTAAATTTCGTTTATAGTAGCTCCTCCAGGAACGGATTAATTACGAACAACGCGGGACCACTGTAAATGTTGGATGTGTTGGCTGTACTCAAAGTGGTATTTGAGTTTGTTTCTTCAGTATTACTACGATTATTTATTTTAGCATTAATAAAGTTGAGAAGTATTCTCCTGTTCAGTTTATGGCCCTTAAACGTTCTCATTGTTAAACATTTGTCACTGGTCATGCAGTAGTGACGTAACTGAGTTTATTCCCCCCCATCCCCCCGCCCTTGGATTTCATGGGGGTGACACCAAAGATGCCGCCCCAGGTGACACCAATCCTAGCAATGCCTCTGACTGTACTTGCCACCTACAGAGCTGTAACATTCTCATTCATTCTTCAGAGTACAGACACTGTACTTCCCACCTCCAGAACTGTAACATCCTCACTCATCTTGTAAACATGTACATTATGTGTGGTTTAGTCATAATATTGAACAATGTGTTTCAGAACTCAACCGTAGAATGCGGCAGCAAGAGTCCAGCAGCGACGGCGGCGGGAGTGGATGTAGCGGCGGAGGTGGACTCTCCACCGCCGGCGGTGCAGACCAGACATGACAAGGTTCTGCCATCCTCCCCGCCGCCGCCGCCAACAGTGGCGGCGGCGACTTCACCCAAGAAGTTTGTGTTGACACAAGAATATATCCAACAAAGTAAGTACTGGTGTCTTGATAACTGATGTACCATGATGTACCCTGGTGTTCCATGGTGTACTATGATGTACCCTGGTGTTTCATGGTGTAACATGATGTACCCTGGTGTTCCATGATGTACCCTGGTGTTCCATGGTGTACCATGATGTACTCTGGTGTACCCTGGCATTTCATGGTGTAATATGATGTATCCTGGTGTTCTGTGATGTACCCTGGTGTTCCATGATGTACCCTAGTGTTCCACGATGTATCCTAGTGTACCATGGTTTACTCTGGTGTACTGTGATGTTTTATGGTTTACCATGTACTGTGATGTACCCTGGTGTTCCATGATGTACCCATTGATACCTTTGATGTACCTTTGAAGAGTTTCACTACTCTTGGAGCCTGGCCATGTGCCAGGCTCGTCTGATGCTTGCCTGGTCAACCAGGCTATTGCTGCTGGAGGCCCACTGCCCCACATATCCATCATAGCCTGGTTGATCTGGTACCTGGTGAAGATACTTGTTCAATTTCCTCTTGAAGGCTTCTACACTTGTTCCAGCCATGTTTCTAATATCTTCTGGTAAGATGTCCCACTTATTGTCCCCACCGCACCCCTGCTCCTCACTGTGTTTATTTTGCACTTCTTCCCATATCTCTCACTCCAGTATGTTGTTATGGCAGTGTGCAGATTGGGAACCAGGCCCTCGAGTACTTTCCAGGTATATATTATCATGTATCTCTCTCTCCACTCCAGAGAGTACATGTTCAAGTCTTGAAGGCATTCCCGGTAATTTAGGTGCTTTACTGGGTCAGTGTGACCTGTAAATGTTCTCTGTATTTGTTCCAGCTTTGATATTTCTCCTGCTTTGAATGGAGCTGTCAGCACTGAGCAACATTCTAAATGAGCACTAGCGATTTGAAGAGTGTCACCATTGGCATTATTTCCCTTGTTTTGAAAGTTTTCAGTACTCTCCCCGTCATCTTCCTGGCTGTCGTGATCTTTGTCTTGTTATGGTCTTTATAAGAAAGGTCAGCTGACATAATTATTCCCAGGTCTTTTATGAGTTCCTTGGTGACCCTCTTGAGTTTTGTACATAGTGTTCCTTTTGAGTTCTTCATTTTTTCCATACCTAAGCAGCTGGAACTTACCACCACTGAACGTCATGTTCTTCACTGCCCACTGGAAAACCCTGCTTATGTCTTCCTGTAATTTTTCTGTGTCCTCTACCATAGTGACTTTCATGCTTATTTTAGTGTCATCTGCAAATGATGATACAAAAGTGTGATTGGTGTTTTTATCTCTGTTTGCTATGAGGATAAGAAACAGCAGAGGTACCAGGACAGTGCCTTGGGGCACAGAGCTTTTTACTTTGCTAATGCTGGATCTTGCTCTGTTTACTACTACCTTTTGTGGTCTGTGTGTTAGGAACCTGAAAATCCATCTGCCTACCTTCCCTGTAATGCCCATGGCCTTCATTTTGTGGACTATGACTCCGTGATCACATTTGTCAAACACCTTTGCAAAATCTGTGATCACATCTGCGTTTTGGTCATCTTCCAACGCCTCCGTAATTTTGTCATAATGTTTCAGCAGCTGTGACAGACATGATCGTCGTGCTCTAAAACCATGCTGGTTTGGGTTATGCTGGTTGTACTGTTCCATGAAATTTGTAATCTGCTATCTCATCACTCTTTCTAAGATTTTTATGATGTGAGAGGTTAGGGCTACTGGTCTGTAATTTTTAGCTAGTGCTCTATTACCTCCCTTATGCAAAGGAGCTATGTCTGCACTTTTTAGGGCCTCCGGTATTTCACCTAGATCTAAGCTCTTTCCCAAAGAACATTGAGTGCTCGTGCTAGTGGTACTTTGCACTTCTTTATAAATAGGGCATTCCATGAATCTGCTCCAGGTGCTGAGTGAGTGGGCATGTTATCCATTTCTTTTCCGAAATCTATGAGATTTATACTAATGTCAGTTAGTTGGTCTGTGCAGCCTTCTGCTGGAGTGAAAAATAGTTCTGCATTTTCTACCTTGGTGTTCATTTAGTGGGTTGCTGAACACCAGCTGATACTGTTCTTTTAGGATTTCACTTATTTCCTGTTCATTGGCAGTATACAAATCTCTTCTCAATAATGGTCCAATTCTACAGGTAGTTCTTAGCTTGAATTTTGCATAGGAATAGAAATATTTTGATTTTCTTGCAATAGTTGTATGAATGTTGGTAGTGGCAGCTGGTCCAGTTGGTAACACTGATGAATGTTGGTAGTGGCAGCTGGTCCAGTTGGTAACACTGACCTGTGAGGTAGATGTTAGTCCTCCTGCCACCCACCTCCTCCCCTGCTGTCAGGTATACATTGTGAGCAGCTGTCACCTGTTGTAAAGGACTACCTGGAGTTTTTGTAAGCACTCTGAACTTCTGCTTAGGGTGACTTTTGATCGTTGTAGAAGTTGTCAAGTGACCTAACCCCCCTCGTTTATCATCTGATACTCTATCGTATGCTACTTCAGTGGTCTCTGATCTTATAGATCTCTCTATCTATACACTCTCTCATCTAATCTATCATCTCTATCTATTCTATCTCTATTCTATCTATCTCTATCTATCTATCTATCTATCTTCTCTATCTCTTCTCTCTATCTCTCTCTCTATCTCTCTCTCTATCTCTCTCTCTCTCTATCTCTCTATCTCTCTCTATCTCTCTCTATCTCTCTATCTCTCTCTATCTCTCTATCTCTCTCTATCTCTCTATCTCTCTCTATCTCTCTCTATCTCTCTCTATCTCTCTCTCTATCTCTCTCTCTATCTCTCTCTCTATCTCTCTCTCTATCTCTCTCTCTATCTCTCTCTCTATCTCTCTCTCTATCTCTCTCTCTATCTCTCTCTCTATCTCTCTCTCTCTCTCTCTCTCTCTCTCTCTCTCTCTCTCTCTCTCTCTCTCTCTCTCTCTCTATCTATCTATCTATCTATCTCTCTCTATCTATCTCTATCTCTCTATATCTCTTCTCTATCTCTCTCTCTCACACTCTCTCTCACACACTCACACTCTCTCACACTCTCTCTCTTTCTGCTCTCCCAGTCATGTTTCAGTCAGTACCAGTCCTCTCTCCTGGTGGTCTGGGTCACAACTGGTCAAGAAGAGTCGATCAAAGAGTCGACCATCGCCTCATCTTCGCTCTTCTCGTAGTCCTGGAAATGTACTTAAGATGTTCTTCTTGTCAAGCAACTGCTCAAGAAGAAATTTGTCACCCAGCTGGTAGTTATAATTTAACACACGTTATATATTATGATGGACGTAAATGGGAGTGTTCTGGCAGGGCTGCATCTGCTCTTGTTGCCACCTCCCTAGTTAACAATGAGTTAGACATCATTAACAACTGGGCGTCTACACTGCAAACTGAATTGCTTGTCATCCTAAGGGTGTTAAAGCTAACTTATGACACTGAGTTTGACTCTGTTATCATTACTGATTCTATGTCATCATTAAAGGCTCTTAATTCATATAATGACTCCAGCAACATGCTTATTGGAGAAGCCAGGTATAGTTACTCGAAAATCCAGGAAAAGGGAATTAATGTACAATTGCTGTGGATCCCATCGCACATTGGATTACTCCTTCATGATAAAGTTAACATGTTAATAATACAGTGGACCCCCGGTTAACGATATTTTTTCATTCCAGAAGTATGTTCAGGTGCCAGTACTGAATGAATTTGTTCCCATAAGGAATATTGTGAAGTAGATTAGTCCATTTCAGACCCCCAAACATACACATACAAACACACTTACATAAATACACTTACATAATTGGTCACATTGGGAGGTGATCGTTAAGCGGGGGTCCACTGTATTACATTTGAGATGATTACAGATACTGAGAGTAATCATATATTGATTATAATGATTTACGTATGTTCATGATATTGAGCAAATGTATACATGTATATAGTTTGTTACATATTTATTTATGATGGGCTGGGATAAGTTAAGGAGATAAGGTGTTTTCTAAGTGTAGTTTTAAAAATGCCGAGTCAGTGGTTCTGGAGATTTTTGGCAGAGAGTTCCAGATTTTGAGTCCTTTTATGTATATTGAATTTTTGACAAGATTTAACCTGACACAGGGAATGTCATAGAGATTTTTGTGACTAGTAGGTAGTAGGTTGGTAGACAGCAGCCACCCAGGGAAGTACTACCGTCCTGCCAGATGACTGTGAAACAGAAACCTGTAACTGTTTTGCATGTTGGTAGGATTGGTGGTGTCTTTTTCTGTCTCATAAACACGCTAGATAACAGGGATATCTTGCTACTCCTACTTACACTTTGGTCACACTTCACAGACACGCACATGCATACAGTGTATATATATACATACATCTAAATAGCTCTTGTTCTTCTTTATTTCTTCTATTGTCCATGGGGAAGTGGAAAAGAATCTTTCCTCCGTAAGCCATGCGTGTCGTATGAGGCGACTAAAACGCCGGGAGCGATGGGCTAGTAACCCCTTCTGTAGACATTTACTAAAAAAGAGAAGAAGAAAAACTTTATAAAACTGGGATGCTTGAATGTGCGTGGATGTAGTGCGGATGACAAGAAACAGATGATTGCTGATGTTATGAATGAAAAGAAGTTGAATGTCCTGGCCCTAAGCGAAACAAAGCTGAAGGGGGTAGGGGAGTTTCGGTGGGGGGAATAAATGGGATTAAATCTGGAGTATCTGAGAGAGTTAGAGCTAAGGAAGGGGTAGCAGTAATGTTAAAGGATCAGTTATGAAAGGAGAAAAGAGAATATGAATTGTGTAAATTCAAGGATTATATGGATTAAAGTAAAGGTTGGATGCGAAAAGTGGGTCATAATAAGCATGTATGCACCTGGAGAAGAGAGGAATGTAGAGGAGAGAGAGATTTTGGGAGATGTTAAGTGAATGTATAGGAACCTTTGAACCAAGTGAGAGAGTAATTGTGGTATGGGACCTGAATGCTAAAGTAGGAGAAACTTTTAGAGAGAGTGTGGTAGGTAAGTTTGGGGTGCCAGGTGTAAATGATAATGGGAGCCCTTTGATTGAACTTTGTATAGAAAGGGGTTTAGTTATAGGTAATACATATTTTAAGAAAAAAAGGATAAATAAGTATACAAGATATAATGTAAGGCAAAATGACAGTAGTTTGTTGGATTATGTATTGGTAGATAAAAGACTGTTGAGTAGACTTCAGGATGTACATGTTTATAGAGGGGCACAGATATATCAGATCACTTTTAGTTGTAGCTACACTGAGAGTAAAGGTAGATGGGATACAAGGAGAATAGAAGCATCAGGGAAGAGAGAGGTGAAGGTTTATAAACTAAAAGAGGAGCGAGTTAGGGTAAGATATAAACAGCTATTGGAGGATAGATGGGCTAATGAAAGCATAGGCAAATGGGTCGAAGAGGTATGGGGTAGGTTTAAAAATGTAGTGTTTACAGTGTTCAGCAGAAGTTTGTAGTTACACGAAAGTGGGTGCGGGAGGGAAGAGGAGCGATTGGTGGAATGATGATGTAAAGAGAGTAGTAAAGAAGAAAAAGTTAGCATATGAGAAGTTTTTACAAAGTAGAAGTGATGCAAGGAGGGAAGAGTATATGGAGAAAAAGAGAGAGGTTAAGAGAGTGGTGGAAGCAATGTAAAAAGAGAGCAAATGAGAGAGTGGGTGAGATGTTATCAACAAATTTTGTTGATGGGAAGTACAGTGCCTGCACTCTGAAGGAGGGGTGTTAATGTTGCAGTTTAAAAACTGTAGCGTAAAGCACCCTTCTGGCAAGACAGTGATGGAGTGAATGATGGTGAAAGTTTTTCTTTTTCGGGCCACCCTGCCTTGGTGGGAATCGGCCAGTGTGATAATAAAAAATAATAATAAAATAATTAACAAGTTAAGGAAGCCTAGAGAACAAATGGATTTGTCAGTTAAAAATAGGAGAGGAGAGTTATTAAATGGAGAGTTAGAGGTATTGGGAAGATGGAGGGAATATTTTGAGGAATTGTTAAATGTTGATGAAGATAGGGAAACTGTGAGTTCGTGTATTGGGCAAGGAGGAATAACATCTTGTAGGAGTGAGGAAGAGCCAGTTGTGAGTGTGGGGGAAGTTCGTGAGGCAGTAGGTAAAATGAAAGGGGGTAAGGCAGCCGGGATTGATGGGATAAAGATAGAAATGTTAAAAGCAGGTGGGGATATAGTTTTGGAGTGGTTGATGCAATTATTTAATAAATGTATGGAAGAGGGAAAGGTACCTAGGGATTGGCAGAGAGCATGCATAGTTCCTTTGTATAAAGGCAAAGGGGACAAAAGAGAGTGCAAAAATTATAGGGGGATAAGTCTGTTGAGTATACCCGGTAAAGTGCATGGTAGAGTTATTATTGAAAGAATTAAGAGTAAGACGGAGAATAGGATAGCAGATGAACAAGGAGGCTTTAGGAAAGGTAGGGGGTGTGTGGACCAGGTGTTTACAGTGAAACATATAAGTGAACAGTATTTAGATAAGGCTAAAGAGGTTTTTGTGGCATTTGTGGATTTGGAAAAGGCATATGACAGGGTGGATAAGGGGGCAATGTGGCAGATGTTGCAGGTGTATGGTGTAGGAGGTAGGTTACTGAAAGCAGTAAAGAGTTTTTACGAGGATAGTGAGGCTCAAGTTAGAGTATGTAGGAAAGAGGAAGATTATTTCTCAGTAAAAGTAGGCCTTAGACAAGGATGTGTGATGTCACCGTGGTTGTTTAATATATTTATAGATGGGGTTGTAAGAGAAGTAAATGCGAGGGTCTTGGCAAGAGGCGTGTAGTTAAAAGATAAAGAATCACACATGAAGTGGGAGTTGTCACAGTTGCTCTTTGCTGATGACACTGTGCTCTTGGGAGATTCTGAAGAGAAGTTGCAGAGGTTGGTGGATGAATTTGGTAGGGTATGCAAAAGAAGAAAATTAAAAGTTAACACAGGGAAGAGTAAGGTTATGAGGATAACAAAAAGATTAGGTGATGAAAGATTGGATATCAGATTGGAGGGAGAGAGTATGGAGGAGGTTGAATGTATTCAGATATTTGGGAGTGGACGTGTCAGCGGATGGGTCTATGAAAGATGAGGTGAATCATAGAATTGATGAGGGGAAAAGGGTGAGCGGTGCACTTAGGAGTCTGTGGAGACAAAGAACTTTGTCCTTGGAGGCAAAGAGGGGAATGTATGAGAGTATAGTTTTACCAACGCTCTTATATGGGTGTGAAGCATGGGTGATGAATGTTGCAGCGACGAGAACGCTGGAGGCAGTGGAGATGTCATGTCTGAGGGCAATGTGTGGTGTGAATATAATGCAGAGAATTCGTAGTTTGGAAGTTAGGAGGAGGTGCGGGATTACTAAATCTGTTGTCCAGAGTGTTGAGGAAGGGTTGTTGAGGTGGTTCGGACATGTAGAGAGAATGGAGCGAAGCAGAATGACTTCAAGAGTGTATCAGTCTGTAGTGGAAGGAAGGCGGGGTAGGGGTCGGCCTAGGAAAGGTTGGAGGGAGGGGGTAAAGGAGGTTTAGTGTGCGATTGGCTTGGACTTCCAGCGGGCATGCGTGAGCGTGTTTGATAGGAGTGAATGGAGACAAATGGTTTTTAATACTTGACGTGCTGTTGGAGTGTGAGCAAAGTAACATTTATGAAGGGGTTCAGGGAAACCGGCAGGCCGGACTTGAGTCCTGGAGATGGGAAGTACAGTGCCTGCACTCTGAAGGAGGGGTGTTAATGTTGCAGTTTAAAGACTGTAGTGTAAAGCACCCTTCTGGCAAGACAGTGATGGAGTGAATAATGGTGAAAGTTTTTCTTTTTCGCGCCACCCTGCCTTGGTGGGAATCGGCCAGTGTGTTAATAAAAAAATAAAAATATTGTGTCCATGGGTCCTATTGCAACTGTCAAGAAAGCATTTCAAGTCATGATTTATATTGGAATTGACTGTTCTGTAAATATAGTTTGCACAGTAGCATGAGTGAATGTTTTGTATAGTGAGTAGGTTTAGGTCTTGACATTGCTGAGGACAATACTGGCTTCTGTTGGTGTGTAGTACACACAGCTATTTTAACTTAAATGTTGACTGGGATTTAGATCATATAGATTCAGTTCACCGTCGCTGTCAGCATTGAACATTTGGGGTTGACTGGTAAATATTTAAATGATTTTGAGTTGCAGAAGGGTGATAAGGGGTAATATTAATGTCTGTAATAGGGGAGTGATTGAAGAATAATGGTGTAAGTGTATACTATAGCAGTAGATTGTAGATACTAATAAACATATAATGATATAGCAGTAAGGAAATATAATGAATGATTAAGACTGAAGGAGGGGTGTAATGTTGCAGATTTATAAACTGTAATATAAAGCACCACTCTGGCAAGACAGTGATGGAGTGAATGATGATGATGAAAGTTTTTCTTTTTTGGGCCACCCTGCCTTGGTGGGAATTGGCTGTTGTGTTAATAAAAAAATAAAAATATCAATAGCACCTAACTATTATTGCATTAGTGACTGTATACAGTAGACAG